GACAGTGATGCCAGAATAATGCTGGCAATTCCCTGCAGACTGGACTGGCAGAAAAATCAAGAAAACTCTCAGAAACCAGTAAAAGATTGACAGCTGTGTTTTGCCAAGAATGGATTATCATTTCATAAAAGAAAGGGTAGTTTTACTACGAAGACAGGAGAGAAACTCTCAGAATAAATCCAAGAAATGGCAGTGGCCTTATCCCGAAACACGTGTATGTGCACGTGTGACACAACAGTTGTTGTCTTTCTCATTCACCACAAACCTGTGAAAACTTCACACATGTCTCCAGGAATCAGCTTTCGGAAACCACCACTGTATCCTGTCCTGCCATAATAAACCCAAGACTTGCCCTCATTCCCATTTCTAATTTGCAGGAAATTAAACAACAGTTATCTGAAACATAACTAAAATTCTGACAGAAGAAACTGGAACTAGATTAGGCCAAGTTTGAAGTCTGTCCAGGAAAAGGGCATTAGCAAGTACAAAGCCACAGAACTGTGCACCCAGTCAATCGAATAAGAGGACCATAAACCTGACAGAGGCTAACATGTTTTAAAATGCTGTTTTCAGGGGCGCCTGGGTGGCTCAGTCAGTTAAGCGTCCGACTTCAGCTCAGGTCACGATCTCGTGGTCCGTGAGTTCGAGCCCCGTGTCGGGCTCTGGGCTGATGGCTCAGAGCCTGGAGCCTGCTTCCGATTCTGTGTCTCCCTCTCTCTCTGCCCCTCCCCCGTTCATGCTCTGTCTCTCTCTGTCTCAAAAATAAATAAACTCAAAAAAAAATTTTTTTTTAATAAAATAAAATGCTGTTTTCAGGTCCCAAAGACGTAGAGAGAGTGCCTACACTGATAGGAGCTCATTTAACAGCTCCACATTTGTTTCCCTGATGTGACTGCATCAGCGTGTGAATTCTGGGTTCACCCTTGAAATTCGGCACATTTCCCCTGCCGCCCACCATTCAGAGCTCATTCCCAGGAGAACACACAGAGGCTTCAAAAATCTTGCTGGGGGAACCACACTGCAAACAATTCTTCATTAGAACCTTTCCTCATCGTGTGTCTTCCTCCACTGCAGATTTGCCAGTGACTATGACCAAAAGGAGGGTCACGCGATCTAATTCCAGCAGCCTCACACTCCTAAAGGCCAGGAGGTCTCGGTTAGGAATGAAAATGTGTCTTTCCTCATGAAACACCTGCACATCCGAGCTCAGCCCAAATGAAGAATATATAATCTCCACTTTGGAGAGACCCTGATGGATACCTACATTAAAAGGCCGCCACCGGGGCGCCTGGGTGGCGCAGTCGGTTGAGCGTCCGACTTCAGCCGGGTCACGATCTCGCGGTCTGTGAGTTCGAGCCCCGCATCAGGCTCTGGGCTGATGGCTCAGAGCCTGGAGCCTGTTTCCGATTCTGTGTCTCCCTCTCTCTCTGCCCCTCCCCCGTTCATGCTCTGTCTCTCTCTGTCCCAAAAAATAAATAAACGTTGGAAAAAAAAAAAATTTAAAAGGCCGCCAGGTTGAAGGCAAAATCAGAACCAAGCACCCCGTCCTGGGTGGACTCCTAAGGGAGAAAGCAACACCTGTTCAAACAACAAATCATTCCCGTGCCAGGCAATGTTCAAGGCTAATTGTTCTAAGCAGGCGTGACTGTACCCTTCAGGGACATTTGGCAGTGTCTAGAGACGTTTCTGGATGTCACAATTGGGAGTCGGGCGCTAGTGGCCTCTAGTAGACGGAGGCCAGGGGTGCTGGTCAACATCCTGCAATGGCCGGGACGGTGCCCACAACAAAGTGTAATCCAGCATGAAATGTCAATGGCACTGAGGTTGAGAAACTCTGCTCTAGACTCTAGGGACACAACAGTAAACAAGGAACAGACAGAAATCTCTGCTCCCTTGAAGCTGGCAGTCTAGCGTGGAGGAACCTATTATAAACACAGTAGAAATGAGAGTTGGTTATAATAGAAGTACAATGGAAAAAATAGTACAGGGCAAGGAAGATGAGAGTCTGGAGGGATAGTGATTGTACCTAGTGAGGTCAAGGTAGGCCTGCTAGGAATATAAAAGACCTGAAGTTGGTGAGGTGGTGAGCCCTGTGGCTCTCTGGGCAAAGGATGGTCCAGGCAGAGGCGCCAGCCAAATACAACATACAAAGGCCTTACGGTGGAGGAGCCCGGAGTGTTCCGGGACAGCAAGGAAGCTGACAGGGAACTTGACCATACAGGCTGCCTTTTGCCGTTTAAAGGATCTCGAGTGTTACTGAAACTAGGAGCCACTGGAGAGTTTTAAGCAGAGAACGACATGATGTGGCACGTTTTAAGCCACAGTTTCTCAGCCTCAGCGGTGACAGTTTAGGGCCAGATAATTCTCTGTTGCTACCTTGTCCATTACAGAAACTTTAGCAGCATACTCAGGGCTCTATGTACTAAAGACCAGTACCAACAGCCTTCCATTCTGACAACCAAAAATCTCTCCAGACATTGTCAAATGACCCCTGGGGAGGGCAGCGATATCTATCCTGCCTGAGAACCAATTTTAACAGGAACATTGTGGCTGTCACATAGAAAATCCACCAGAAGGGGTAACAGTAGAAAGCAAGAGGCTACCGCAATAACCCTGGCACGGGCTGGTGAGGACTTGGACCAAAGTGGTAGCAGGGGACCTGCCGAGAGGTGGGCAGATTCTGAACATATTTTCAACTCCAAGAGACGATCTAGGGAATATAACTGAGAGACGAAATGGCTACAGCCGCCTTGACCTTTCAAATTCTACTTTTTCCAACCAAGACTTACAAGAAGGGAGATACCCTGGCAAAGACTTCAGACAAAAAGCCATGAGGAGGCCCCCAACAACATGTAGCCCTTTTAAAGTCACACAACAGATGCCGATGACAATAAGTTAGACAACTGTGGAAAACAGTATAGGGAAATTTTGCCAACCCCATATATTTATTCACAGATTTTATTTAACTGGTTTATTTCAAAGAGCATGTGTCTGCTCCACAGACAAGTTTTACAACAACTTTTTTAATTTAGCATTCCTCTCCATACCGGTTCTGTCCCGCACCTGTTTCTAGCTTCAACGTGTGAAGCCATTGCTTCCCACGTAGCCACATTTTTCCTTACACATGCTAGCTAGCTACCGAGGACGCTCACCCTTGCAAGTAATTTTTTGCCGACTCTGAAAAAGAACAGGCCCAAATCCTTCAACATGAGTTTCATGGCACTCATTTGGGTTTTTCCAGATGGTATTTTCCTCACTCTCTCAAACTCATTTAATGTTATGTATCAGCTCCCATCAAAAATGTTCCAAACAGTCCGGTTAATTCATTTCTTTCAGGACTACAGACACACACTCAAACACTCACTCCCTCATTCTGGCCATGTAAGCATTTGCTTATAGAAGCAAAAGCAGAGACTGCTCAGTAAAACACTGGTCCCTTCAGCCGAATGCACATAAAGCCCCAATGAGCATAACCAACAATACCCTTCACACAATATTACTCAAAACCCCCACCCCCAACACACACAATCTCCTCTCACACACAAAACAGCCATTATGAAGAGAAACCATCAACTAAAGGCTGCTTGTAGGCATCTAACGGCATTTCCTTCCAATCACTGTGAAGCGACTGCAAAGAGGCTGCTTCAGCAACCCCGGGAAGTGGATACGCAGTTCCTAGGTTTTCTTCCCCAACTTGGACTCAGAGTCCCGACGCAGCCCCGAAGGAAACAAACCTGGCTCTGCCTGCGGCTAGAGCAAACAGGAGCCCCGTGCACCCCAGAAGCAAAGACTGGATTATGTACTACTTCACCCCCCGGCCAGTTGTCCTTCTCTTCATTCACCCTGATTACTGAACCTTCCTCCCCCTCTGCCAGCCAGGTCCGTTCACCCTGACTTTACCCACGTGAGGGGCAGGCAGGAAGGTTTGAGGTGGGTGTGCAGAAGCACTGCTTAACCCTCCAGCTATAGCTTCACCTTATTTCAGAACTGAGAGGGGTGGACATAAACCCTTCTCTACTATCACAACCTCCAATGACCATGTCCCTCTTCGTAAACACGGGAAATGTCTGGAGCGGCCCCCGGACAGAGAAAGAAAGATACCCAACCCGTTCCGACAGAACGGAGTGGGAACGGAGGTAGCATAAGAAATGGGCACTAGAGGTGGTGGGGCGCCAGACCAGCGGGTGTCTTCACTTCTCGCCAAAAAGTTTTTGAACTCCCCTGCAAATTAAACGCGTGTCTCTGCCAAGCAGGGGCCCTGCCAAGCAGGCCTGTCCCAATACCCTCCAGTTACGAGGCTTTTTTTTTTTTTCCCTCCAGGGAAGGCCTGGTTTTGAATGGGACTCTATTGCCCAGGGAGTTGTTTAATCTGAACGAGGTGACACGCCCACCCGCTGCCCCCGACCCGCCCGCGCCGGCGTGCCCCGGTGGGCAAGGTGAGAGGCGGGGCTCCGGGAAACATCACCTGGAGGCGGCCAGGGGCGGACTTTCCCAGAGGAGCCCGGCTCCGAGGAGGCGACACAAACGAATTAATTGCTTCCATCAACGTCGCGTTTCAATCCACCCCAAGCACTCCCTCTCCGAGTACTCAGCCCGCCGGGATCTTCAGAAAAGAGGTTCACTAGAAACTCTTTTTTTCTCCTTCCCACCGGGACAGCGTCCGGTTCCCGCGCTCCTCCTCCCCCACCTGCTCGCCCGGTCGCTCCCCTGCCCCCACCCGGTCTCAGCGGCCAGTGTGCCGTGCCCAGGGACCCCTCACCTGGGCCGGCGGTCGTAGGCTGCCTGCGACGCCCCCGCAGCGCACTTGAACGGAGCCCCCGGAGGCGCACCGCCTGGGCGGACGCGGCCCCCCAACTGCGGGGGCAGTTCGCCCTCTGCCCCCGGGCAAGGACACGGGGTCCTTGTCCCAGAGCCCGGACGACCGGCTTTCCTCGCCCCACGGTGTGGGGCACGGGGCCCCCAGCCGCACTCCGCGCCTCCCTCCAGCTGTCACTACTCACCTGCTCTTCAGAGGTTGACTTTTGAGTTCGTAATAGGTTTTGGGCTCTTCGTGAAACTCCTCCCCGACTTCGAAATCCGGCACGATCCCCGATTCCGACTGCATGGCTCCCGCTTCCCGTCCTTCCACTGCTCAAAAGTGAGAACAGAGCCTGGGGCGGAGGGAAGGTGGCGGGGCCTGGGTCCCCGAGCGGTGTGCCCCCGCGCAGTGCCCAGCTCAGCCCGCTTGCCCGCGCGCGGCCACCCGCCCCGGCGCGGCGAGTTTACACTCGCACCCGGGAGGGAGGGGCGGGCGGCCGCGCGCAGCCTGGGATCTGTAGTTCGGTCCGGACGGGCGTTCCCGGCTTTCCAGGGGAGCCGCTCCCGTGAAAACTACAACTCCCAGAAGGCCAGGCGGGGGCAGAGGCAACGTGGTGGACACCGCTATTGCAACTCCTGTTTGGATTCATTGTCAATGTCAGCAGCTCCTCTCCCTCCTCTCTCCTCTCTTGCTTCAAGGATACGGACGTGGCTATTTAATATTAATAAGAATGGCCTCAGCCTTGCTCTCCTACCGTCAGCCCTACTCCCTGTGCAGATATTTGCGAGGGCACGCCAAATCCTTTAAAAAAAATTTTTTTTTTTTTAATCGTGAAGGGTTTTGGCACTAGAAAGTTTTTGCCTTCAAGCCTACCTTAAAATAAAAGGACCTAACTATCTATCAGCCTGTATGCTTTTCAGCGCCGCGGTGACATATTACCTTGTCCTCGGATTGGAATAGAGTGGAGGAATTTGCCTTCACTTTATAATTAAAACATTATCGTAAAAATTATTCTTGTGCGTTCCTTTTCTGTAACTCAGTCTGAGCTTTTACAATACCATCCATCCAGCTGAGTGGCTCTGCTCCCTTTATCCAATTAGCCACTTTTAATCTAAAGCAGCACTTGAAAGGTCCGGTTAATTTAAAAGGCACCAAGTTAACAAAACAGAGTCGTCACTGTCTGCTTTTAATTTCTCACTTGTCTGGGAGTTCAAACAAGATTGTCCTAACAATTCAGGAGTGAACTTGGGGGTGCGTAAACTGTATGAGTGTCATCCTCCCGCCTGAGCTTCCCATCACTCATTTAGGTAACAGAATAAAAAGCTCAGTTATGGCTCATGTTTACTTCCAGACGTTCCCTCTGATTACTTCCAGCAGAATGTGTTCTTTCTTCTAAAAAATGTCTTAAGGCATCAGGGAGGCAGTAGAGAGTTAGAGGGTGGTATTTAAAGTTATGAGACTCAGAGGTGAAATCCTGAAATCCTGTCTAAAGCACTGTGTAATCTTGGGCACGTCATTGATTCCTAGAAGCCTCAATTTCTTCATCTGTAGGAGAGGAGATGAGCAAACCTGTTTTAGAAGATGTTGCAAGGTCAAATGCAAGGGAAGGTGATTTGTAGTCTTTAAAAATGATGCTTCCTGGTCATTCTTTTATTTTTCTTTAAGGTAAATATCTTAAAAATAAATAATATCTTAAACATATTCCGTTCAGACTAACATTTCATCTGTGAGTTTTCCTTCCAGAAGTATTAAACTAAATGATCATACTAGGATAAAATTCTAAGAAGTTTGGATTAATGATTGGGCATCTCCCAGAATTCCATTGACCCCTTAAAGGCTATCAAGAAGTTCATGTTAGAACTGCATTGTGTAACGTCTTTAGAACTGAAATGGAACAGCCCATTATGGCACTCATATCAAATAGTGACCTACCAGACCAAATGGACCAAACGTGAAGGGGAAAAAACTATCAAGAAAACTAAGAGCCCTGAACTTACCACCAGACAAGTGCACCTTCCAGAAGGATCTGTAGGCTACATACAGAGCTCTGAGCGGAGGTTGCCCTGAGGCACATACAGCTGCTATTTTTCCCCTGCACCTTTTCTTCTGGTCTCATCCTACTCTGAGTTGGGGAAAACTCCTCTTCCCTCACATGTGACACATTTGTCATTTAGAGCGCCATCTACCACCCAGTGAGAGTGGGTATGTGATTTAATCCTGACCAATGAATGACCCCTTTTCCTTAGCCACAGTGATTCCTTTAGGGATGGACACAGGACAGTAACACGATTAAAAGTTCTCCTTTGAACCTTTCTACAGGGCAACAGGGAAAGACTGTCTGCTTTGTGGAAGCTTGGTGTTCAAAGATAGACAACCTGGGGCGCCTGGGTGGCGCAGTCAGTTAAGCGTCCGACTTCAGCCAGGTCACGATCTCGCGGTCCGTGAGTTCGAGCCCCGCGTCAGGCTCTGGGCTGATGGCTCAGAGCCTGGAGCCTGTTTCCGATTCTGTGTCTCCCTCTCTCTCTGCCCCTCCCCTGTTCATGCTCTGTCTCTCTCTGTCCCAAAAATAAATAAACGTTGAAAAAAAAATTAAAAAAAAAAAAAAAAAAAAAAAAAAAAAACAAAGATAGACAACCTAAAGCTAATTACTTATGGCCACATTGGAAAGCTGACCAAAAATGACACAGTGAGATAAGATCAACAATCAGAGAAGCAGATATCCTTAGAATTTCCAGAGATATGAATCCAAAACTCTTTTCTTTTTGCTGAAACTATTATGCTTTAGGTTTTTGTCAGTTGCAACCAAAAGACCTTTGAGTAATCACCCTAAACGCTTTTCAGTCCTTTAAATAGATGGCCCATCTCGAGGGATGGCCATACCATTAATCCACGTGATAAAAAGTTGGCCCCCTGGTAGATGGCCCTGTAATCCCTCTTTATGAATGAATTAAACCCTAGGAGTAGATACCTTTTCTTTAAAAAGGTGATGAAAGTCAATATCTTCATACATTTCAACCAGAGATTGGGTCTCTTCAGAGCACAAGAGCAAAAGAAGTACAGAAGATTATTATTGTCACACTTACCTACATTTATGTAATATTTTACTCTTGCTCATGCTTGTCACACGCACCTCTCATTTAAGCTTATAAAAATCCAACAGCAAGGATAAATGTGAAAGGGTCCTCACTCGAAGACACATTGTACATGCGCTGGTCATAAACAGAGCATAGTGTTAAGTAACCAGACTACAAGAATGTATTTGACTCCCTCTCTGCCCTCAAGAGACTCATAGTCCAGGAGTTGAGTCAAGGCTTGTAACCCAGTGAGAAACCACACAGAAGGCAGCAAGTACTAAGCAGTTGATAGTTGATATATGATTCGGACTTTCATATCCATTTATCTCAACAACTATTTATGGAGCACCTACTCTGTGTCAGCCACATTATGTGCTAGATATGGAGAAAAATAGCAGTTCTGAGCCATACATGATCTCTGCACTCAGGACCTAGTCCTTGCCTTTTTAAGAATAGAAGTGAAAATGCTTTGATAGATAAATAAATAGATAGGTAAGTGCTACATGTGTCTGAGAAAGGAGCCACCGCCAAGGGCAGAGGTGGAGATAAAGTGAAGAATTCTTGGAGGAGATGTGACTAAGCTAGATATTAAAAATAAATAAAGTGAAGAAAAATAAAGAAGAGAAAAATATAGGACATAAAACATGAAAACTGAATCTAATCAAGCCCCTAGATCTAACCACCAATTTAGGGGGGAAAATGAGAGAGAGGAACATGTGAGGTTGCACTCAGACAAACCAAGAAATTGAGAAATTCTACAAGACATTGGGAAATACTTCAAAAAATAAATAGCATGAAATAAAGAGGAAGGAGGAACTGCTATAGATTTTTAAAGAAGTAAGAGACATACATAAGATCTATGTGAATTATATTTAATTTTGAAAACAAATTGGGAAAACAGACATATCATATCACCCACATACATTGTGTACATATTATGTGGAGTCTGATTGAACAAACCAATTGTCAAAATTCATTTTGGAGAACACTAGAAGTGTAGGAACATGGACTGGAATTGGATGATATTAAAAAATTATTGTTGGGGTGCCTGGGTGGCTCAGTCGGTTGGGTGTCTGACTTCAGCTCAGGTCATGATCTCACAGGTCGTGAGTTTGAGCCCCGCGTCAGGCTCTATGCTGACAGCTCAGAGCCTGAAGCCTCCTTCGGATTCTGTGTCTCCCTCTTTCTCTGCCCCTCGCTGGCTGGTGCTCTGTCTCTCTGTCTTTCCTTTCTCTCTCTCTCTCGCTCTCTCTCTCTCTCTCTCTCCTTCTCTCAAAAACAAATAAACATAAAAAAGATTTTCTTAATTATTGTTAACTTTATTAGGTGTGATAGTGACATCGTGCTTATCTTATTTTCGAAGTTCCTATCTGATAGTCAGACATACATATAAGGTATTTATGGGTGAGATGATATGATGTCTGGGAATTGCCATAAAATACTCCATACAATACTATCCCCCCATAAAGTGGGAAAAGGAGAGCGGAAATGTGAATAAGATGGTACAACTGGGTAATGTGCTTTGGAAGTTTACTATACCACTCTCTGTACCTTTGCGTACATTTTAACATCTCTATGTTAAAAAATAAACAGAAAAACGGGGTGCCTGGGTGGCTTGGTCGGTTAAGCGTCCGACTTCGGCTCAGGTCATGATCTCACGGTCCGTGGGTTCGAGCCCGGCGTTGGGCTCTGTGCTGACAGCTCAGAGCCTGGAGCCTGTTTCAGATTCTGTGTCTCCCTCTCTCTCTTCCCCTCCCCTGTTCATGCTCTGTCTCTCTCTGTCTCAAAAATAAATAAACGTTAAAAAAATTTAAAAAAATAAAAATAAAAATAAACAGGAAAAAAAGGGAACTGTCAGAATGATTTTTTAAATGGTATACCATTGCTGATAAAGTTAGATTTAAAAAACATGTGGTTGAAAAGGAGAAACGGGACATGAGGAAGATGTGGAAGCAAAGCTGCTCAAGGTATGTTTGGAGGAAACATCCAAGAGCAACAGGAGATGGTTGATTTCAGCAGAAAGCAATTCACTGAAAGTAGACTGAGTAGCCCCAGACCTTCTGGAAGGGCTGCAGGACCTGGCACAGAAGTTGTGCAACCAGGAACAACTCCAAAATCTATGCCATAGAACTGGGCTAGTGAAGCCACCACCACCGATAACACTGTGTCATGAAACATCACAGCTTGTGCCTTTGACACTGAACATGGCACACTGTAGAGATGCTGCCTCTGGGAACTGGATATAGCCAC